ATGCTTCACAGAGTTCAAATCACAGACACATCTCTACATCAACTGTTCAGAGGAGACTTTGTGAATCAGGCCTTCATGGTCGAATTGCTGCAAAGAAACCACTACTAAATGACACCAATAAGAGGAAGAGACTTGCTTGGGCCAAGAAACACGAGCAATGGACATTAGATCGGTGGTAATGTGTCCATTGGTCTGGAGTCCAAATTGGAGGTTTTTGGTTCCAACCGCCTTGTCTTTGTGAGATGCGGTGTGGGTGAACGGATGATCTCCGCATGTGTTGTTCCCACCGTAAAGCATGGAGGAGAAGGTGTTATGGTGTGGGGGTGCTTTGCTGGTGACACTGTGATTTTTTTTTTGAATTCAAGACACACTTAACCAGCATGGCTACCACAGCATTCTGCAGCGATACGCCATCCAATCTGGTTTGGGCTTAGTGGGACTATCATTTGTTTTTCAACAGGACAATGACCCAACACACCTCCCGGTTGTGTAAGGGCTATTTTTCCAAGAAGGAGAGAGATTGAGTGCTGCATCAGATGACCTCTTCTCCACAATCCCCCGACCTCAACCAAATTTAGATGGTTTGGGATGAGTCGGACCGGAGAGTGAAGGAAAAGCAGCCAACAAGTGCTCAGCATATGTGGGAACTCCTTCAAGACTGTTGGAAAGGCATTCCAGGTGATGCTGGTTGAGAGAATGCCAAGAGTGTGCAAAGCTGTCATCAAGGCAAAGGGTGGCTATTTGAAAAATATAAAATATATTTTGATATGTTTAACACTTTTTTGGTTACTACATGATTCCATGTGTTATTTCATAGTTTTGATGTCTTCACTATTATTCTACAATGTAGAAAATAGTAAAACCCTTGAATGAGTAGGTGTTCTAAAACTTTTGACCGTGTGTGTGTGTGTGTGTGTGTGTGTGTGTGTGTGTGTGTGTGTGTGTGTGTGTGTGTGTGTGTGTGTGTGTGTGTGTGTGTGTGTGTGTGTGTGTGTGTGTGTGTGTGTGTGTGTGTGTGTGTGTGTGTGTGTGTGTGTGTGTGTGTGTGTGTGTGTGTGTGTGTGTGTGTGTGTGTGTGTGTTTATTTCACGGTGACCTGCTGCTGCTGACTACCAGACTGTGAGTGAGTGGGGGAGGTCCGGAGGGGGGTGTGTGTGCGCGTGTTGAGAGCACTGGTTGAGAGAGTGCTGCAGCAGAGGCAACTGAGTCACGGAGACAGAGCAGCACGCGCACACATCGTGACAACTTTTTACCAGTTGTAGGTAGGCTATTTAGATTGGTAATTATGGAGACACCCTTTTTCCATAAAACATTTACGCGCTAGAACTGATATAACGGCTAAAAGCATTGGAAAACGACTTTAGGCGCACTAGAGCTCTTTAGATAAGTTCGCTCAGAGGTGGTTTAACGTAAACGGCATTCTAATGTCGACTTTTCTCATGGGTAACCTTATCAAGCGAAGGGTTTTATTCATGATCAATTCTAGCGTCTGGAGTGCTGTGCCAGTGGAAATTTGAAATGGAAGTTATTGAACTCTCTCGCGTGCTTGTGTTATGGGAAAAAGTTGACAATGAAAATGACATTAAATAGCATCTGTTGGCTATCAAGTAGGCTATTAATTTATATTCCATTTATAAGCTACTGTAGCCTACCATTTGATACAATAAATACAGTATGTTGAAATGACTATCACTGGAGTCATTGCAAATCAATTTGTGCCACTTGTGTAGCCTACCTGGAGCTGGGAAACTGATTTAATAAATAGCATATAACTCAGTTTGTTGTTGTAGCCTTGTGTTATTATGCAATTATTAATGGCCATGTTTAGTTAATTAAATTGGAAGTTATTAATTATGATCATGGTCACAGCTCTATTGCAAATATATCATTCTCCACATTTAATGTCAGTTTCATTGTGGACTTTTCCCTGAAATGAGATATTGGCATGTTGGCCTATCTGGCTGTAGGCTACCTGCATCTAGGTCAGCAAACCATGGCAAAATTGAATTGCAATTATAAACCCAGATTTTAGTCAGTAGCCTATGCCTATTGAAATAACAAGTCAATCTCGCAAATAGGCCATTTTATAACGGTTTGTAGTCTTAACAGGATTTATTTAAGCAATAAGGCCTGAGGGGGTGAGTATATGGCCAATATACCACGGCTAAGGGCTGTTCTTAAGCACGGCGCAACGTGCCTGGTCACAGCCCTTTGCCATGGTATATTGGCCATACACCACAAACCCCCGAGGTGCCTTATTGCTATTATAAACTGGTTACCAACATAATTAGAGCAGTTAAAATAAATGTTTTGTCATACCCGTGGTATACTGTCTGATATACAACAGCTGTTAGCCAATCAGCATTCAGCGCTCAAATCACCCAGTTTATAATTACAATGATAAACTGGGTGGTTTGAGCCCTGAATGCTGATTGGTTGAAAGCCATGGTATATCAGACATGTACCAAAATAACAAAAACATACTTTTTACCAGTTTATAACGGCAATAAGGCACCTCTGGGGTTTGTGGTATATGGCCAATATACCACGGCTAAGGGCTGTATCCAGGCACTCCGCGTTGTGTCGTGCTTAAGAACATCCCTTAGCCGTGGTATATTGGCCATATACCACACCACCTCGTGCTTTATTGCTTAATTATAAACTGGGTGGTTTGAGCCCTGAGTGCTGATTGGTTGAAAAATGACAAAAACGTACATTTTACTGTTCTAATTATGTTGGTAACCAGTTTATAATAGCAATAAGGCAACTGGGGTTTGTGGTATATGGCCAATATACAGTACCACGGCTAGGGGCTATGTCCTAAGAACAGCCCTAACCGTGCTATGTTGGCCATATACCACACCTCCTCGGGCCTTATTGCTTACTCATAGCAGTCCAAACAGGTTAAATCGACATCCATTGATGTCGATATTCCTTCTTAATTTGCTCGATAACATTATGGAAAAAGGGTTTATTGGATAAATGTGGCAAGTCCTTTCTTGCTGCAAAGAAATTTGGGGGGCTAGTTTTCAGGGCTTGTGGGTGGGTTTTCAGAGGTCATTGGGCTAGAGATTTGAGCTAGACCTGGCAACCCTGTGGATTATTGAGTCATTGTTAGTTTTACACTGAAGACATGACGTTGTGCTGTAGAATTTGTGAATTTTGTTTAATAAATTCTATACATTTAATTTATACTGGATTAAGCGTACATTTTCGTTCTTTGTAAGTCTTGGTTCCAGTAGTTTATATTTTTTTCTAAGAGATTGTCAGTTGGATAGGCTTTCTGCAAGCTTTTGTATATCTTACCTATCATATGAATATCCCTTTATGACTCAAAAAGGGTTCCCTCAAGATTACTCTGTTGTCCAAGAGATTTCAAATATAAATGTCTTGATATTAAACTTTGAAGTTGCATGTATTTGAAAATATCTACGTTGGTCAGTCCAAAATTGCTTTTCAATTCTGTCATGGAAATACATTTATGTCCTATTACCAAGTCATTTACGGTTTCCATGCCTTTAGTTTTCCATATAGACCAATTTATCTGTGAATTCTGAAAAGCTATCCAAATATTGTTCCATAGGGTTGTGTTTTTAGGGAGTGATATTGTTTCTTGTAGAATAAGTTTAATTTTCTTCCATATTGTTATGATGTTCTTAACTATGAAGTTGTTAATGTTCTTAGCTTTTTTAGAAAATAGACACGTAAAAAGATTCTGGGGATGAGCATGCACATCTTCAATATTTACCCATTGTTCCTCTTTAGTGCATTTAACTATATGTCGCAAGTACAATCCCTGGGTGGCAAGTTGATACAATTACAAGTCTGGAAGGTTAAAACTACCCTCAGACTCAGGAACATGTAAAACTTTTATTTTTATTCTATGGGATTTATTTGCCCATATGAAGTATGGGTATACTTTATAGTATCTTTGTAGTGAATGGGTGTATTGATACACCATCCAAAGTGTAATTAATAACTTCACCTTGCTCAAAGGGATATATTTTTTTTTTCTCCAATTTTACCCATCTACCCTTTGTGAGGCATTGGAAAAACCTCCCTGGTCTTTGTGGTTGAATCTGTGTTTGAAATTCACTACACGACTGAGGGACCTTTACAGATAATTGTATGTGTGGGGTACAGAGATGAGGTAGTCATTCAAAAATCACGTTAAACACTGTTATTGCACACAGAGTTCATGTAACTTATGTGACTTGTTAAGCACATTTTTACTCCTGAACTTATTTAGGCAAGCCATAACAAAGGGGTTGAGTACTTATTGACTCAATGCGTTTCAGCTTTTCATTTTAAATTAATTTTGAAAAATATAATTCCAAGTTGAGGGGTGTGAATACTTTTTGAAGGCACTGTAGCCCTCCGAGGAATTGAGTTTGACGCCCCTGGATTATATACACTGACTTGTTATTTTAGTGGCGTTATGTAAATTACCCCTCCCCTAAGGTCACTGACATCTGAGGCATTGTCTCTGTCAATGTCAGGTTAGCTGGGGGGATCAGCTTGGTTGTAGGAGCGCACCCTCTTTGGGTCTTTGACAAACGCTAGGCTTTTTATAAAACCCATGTATTATTTATTATATGATGAACCTATTAGGCTAATTCTTAGGATCCTGGCTTTTGCGGATGGTGTGAGATGGGTAGGAATCTTGGCTTTCTATGTCTCAAGTCTTGGTGTTCCAGTGGTTCTTTATCTAAGCCAAAGGAAGTAACTGATTGTCTGATATGATCAATCCGTCTGTGTTCCAAATGGCACCCTTTTACCTATACAGTGCACTACCTTTGACCAGAGCCGTTTGAGCCCTGAAGGAAATTAGTGGAGTAAATAGGGTGCCATTAGGGTGGCACTTTTGACCTCCTGTTGTTGAGTCGAGTATGGTCACTCATTGATGAATCATTTCACTCAAATGGTTTTGGTTCGCTTGAAATGGTTCAATAAATATCTTGTACTAACTCCCACTCCATTGTCTTTCTGTCTCTGTTCAGGTGGCCATCAAAATAGTGGACAAGACGCAGCTGGACGATGAGAACCTGAAGAAGATCTTCAGGGAGGTGCAGATCATGAAGATGCTGAGGCACCCCCACATCATTCGTCTCTACCAGGTCAGTAGATCCACAGCTCCGGAGTGGAGTTTGCCCTAAGTACAGATCTAGTATCAGCTTCCCCTCCCCCAACCTTAACCATTTGTATGGAGAATGCAAATCTGACCCAAGATCAGTGTCTAAGGGCAACTTCACCCTACACCGGATCCACACCGCTGATGCAGTGTGTTTAGTAATGCTGACTGCAGCGGTTATATTGTCAATGCAAATGTCTGTCTGTCTGCCGTAAGGTGATGGAGACCGAGAGGATGATCTACCTAGTAACAGAGTATGCCAGTGGCGGGGAGATTTTCGGTAAGTTTCTGTCTGACTTTTGTAGTGAGCTATTGTCTTTTTGTATGCTCACACAGTAACATTTGACCTCTCCACACAGTAACATTTGACCTCTCCACCTGCACCCAATTGTATGGCTTTGCTACCTATGTCAATGGCTCTGACTAGTGACTATCTGTTTGTCTGTGATCATGGGTTTGACTTCGTCATTGTTTCAATGTTGAGTTGTGATGTGGAGCTCGAGAAATGCGAAGCAAACTTCCTGTAAAAGGCAAATGAACTGAATTTGAACTTTGACCTCTCACCTGTGTATGTTCAGACCACCTGGTGGCCCACGGCAGGATGGCGGAGAAGGACGCGCGGCGGAAGTTCAAGCAGATCGTGGCGGCCGTCCACTTCTGCCACTGCCGCAACATCGTCCACCGAGACCTGAAAGCCGAAAACCTGCTCCTGGACCACAACCTCAACATCAAGATAGCAGGTATAGTACAGAGTGTTTGTGTGAGTGTGTGTAGTTTTCCAACAGATTTTTAGGAGTGACCAGGTTGATTTCCCTGACTTCTCTTTTTTTTTTTTCTGTACTCCCCTCCTCCTCGGTCCATGGTAGACTTTGGCTTCAGTAACCTGTTCTCCCGAGGCCAGCTGCTAAAGACCTGGTGTGGGAGTCCTCCCTATGCTGCCCCAGAGCTCTTCGAAGGGAAGGAGTACGATGGACCCAAAGTGGACATCTGGGTCAGTGTCCTAGTTTTAGTAATCCTAGTTCCTATAAGAAACAACCACAGCTACTCCTCATAGCCTATACTGGACCATGGCTACGTCCCAATTCTCCACCCTTTTCCCAACGTGTGCATTTGTCTTGCACACTTCCTGGCACACTTCCTGGCATGGATTTAACAACGGTGGACATTCTCTCCAGCCAATACTTACACCCCAATCCAGTGCTTTCAAATCAATGACAGGGAGTGTGCATGTGCCCACTTTTGGAAAAGGGTAGAGATTCTCACCTATGAGGGATTACTTCTCCTCATCCTCCTTTTCCCCTCTATCTTTCGCTCTCCCTCCATCTCTCTCTCTCTCTCTGTAGAGTTTGGGCGTGGTGCTGTATGTTCTGGTGTGCGGTGCCTTGCCGTTTGACGGCAGCACCCTCCAGAACCTTAGGGCCCGGGTGCTGAGTGGGAAGTTCCGCATCCCCTTCTTCATGTCCACAGGTGAGACCCGATGCCAGCACTAATACCTTGCAAGTTGAAACAATGGTGTCTTCTACGGTGTTTGACTGGCTGTTTAAGTGTATAACTATCACCAGTGTTGCTTCTGACGTTGCGTTCTGTCTGACAGACTGTGAGTACCTGATCCGACACATGCTGGTGCTGGAGCCCAGCAGACGCCTCTCCATGGAGCAGATCTGTAAGAACAAGTGGATGAAGCAGGGAGACCCTGACCCAGAGTTTGAGAGGGTGAGTTCCCAAACTCTGGGTCCATCGAGCTGCTTTTGGATGATCTGGCAAGACTGCTCTGACCCATCGTCTTTGATTTCAATGGACTCAATGAAGAATGGACCCAACGTTTTAATGGATTTTCTCTCCCTGTCTCTTTCTCTCACTCTTTCTCTCACTGTCTCTCTTTCTCTCTCAGTTGATTGTGGAATGTGAGCAGGTGAAGTCTGAGAGGGAGACAGAGCTCATTAACGAGCAGGTGCTGTTGGCCATGTCTGAGATGGGACTGGACCGCGAGCGCACGCTCCAGGTGGGACCAACACACACACTAGACAACATTGTTGCAGTAGACAAACGCTGTTGTGCATATGAAATGCCATTGGCTTACAGTTGTCTTGGCTGACCGGCGCTCTCGTTTCACCCTGTCTCTCCAGTCTCTGCACACTGATGCGTACGATCACTACAGCGCCATCTACAGCCTGCTCTCCGACCGCCTGAAGAAACACAAGACCCTGCGCGTGGCCCCGCCCACGCCCCGTCCCATCGGCTACCCTCTCAATGCTGTACAGGTAACCTTTGCCCCTCAGATCTACAGATTCTAAGGAATCTGATTGGTTACTAAGATCATATGAAAGAGTAGGATTGCCGATAGGGTGGCAGATATGTGCGCCAAAGACCTCCGGCCAATTAATCTGGTTTAGGGCAAATGTTTCGAAATCGTGGCCCAAAGTCCAGATCTATGAATTCATCCGACTCTGGGTAAGTAGAAGGGATGCCTTCATTGCCAAAACCGCGTAATGTGGTTGTTATTATCAGCTGTGTGTGCAGGCAACTGTCTTGTGAGCACTGAGCTGCAGCCAAACGGAGCAGTTGCTATGGCTACTCACACGCAGAGCGGCCGGGGGACAGACAGAAGAGCAGCTAACGGAGGAAGTTATTTCTTATTTCTGCACGTAAAAATGAGCATGGGACTGGAGTGATTTTTATCCAGACAGGAAAGTTCAGAGGTTATAGAACTGTTGCGGGATCAGGACAGTATAAGGAAAAAATTTGACAAGACTGGATAGGAATTAATTTTCACTCCCTTGTCAGAGCTCACGCTTGTTTAACCTATGGAACATTTTAGTGCCTTAGTAATTTAGGGTATTTGAGAGATTAGTACTTTACACTCACTCCAAGATTTTGAGGGTATTTTTTGTGATATTTGCAGTTTAAAATGCTTTATTTTGCTGCGGCAATTCTGACATTTTGAATGGCAATATGTGATGATTTTGTCCAATTTGGTGCGAAAATGCGCTGACGAGGGGATACGTTTGTTGACGCTTGGCTTGATTGAACCATATTATGTGTTGATTGGTTGAAATTGCAAGCCCTCTTTTTGTACTGTGCCAAAATATTGCCATGATTTGACTGTTTTCTGTGGAAATAGTGCAGTGCTAGGTCAAATGTCCAAGCCCTCGCATAATAGGCCTCCTGTAGCTCAGTTGGTAGAGCATGGCGCTTGCAACGCCAGGGTTGTGGGTTCGATTCCCACGGGGGGCCAGTATGAAAAATGTATGCACTCACTAACTGTAAGTCGCTCTGGATAAGAGCGTCTGCTAAATGACTAAAATGTAAAATGTAAATAATATGCGGGCAATTGCTGAATTAAAAAATAAATGCAATCATGGAATCCTGGAGGGACTGACTTTAGGACTTTAGTGGTCCTCTGTAGCTCAGTTGGTAGAGGATGACGCAGTGGATTCGATTCCTGGGACCACCCGTATGGAAAATATATGCAAGCATGCAAGTGCCTTCAGAAAGAATTCACACCCCTTGACTTTTTCCACATTTTGTTGTGTTACAACGTGGGATTAAAATGGATTGAATTCTCTTCAAAATACTTGGTCAAAGTGGAAAGGAAATTATACAATTCGTACATAAATAAATAATAAAACACTAATCTATCTTGATTAGATAAGTATTCAACCCCCTGAGTCAATACATGTTACAATCACCTTTGGCAGTGATTTACAGCTGTGAGTCTTTCTGGGTAAGTCACTAAGAGCTTTCCACACCTGGATAGTGCAACATTTGCCCATTATTCTTTTAAATATTCTTCAAGATCTGTCAAATTGGTTGTTGATCATTGCTAGACAACCATTTTCAGGTCTTGCGATAGATTTTCAAGCAGATTTAAGTCAAAACTGTAACTCAGCCACTCAGGAACATTCACTGTCTTCTTGGTAAGCAACTCCAGTGTAGATTTGGCCTCGTGTTTTTAGGTTATTGTCCTGCTGAAAGGGGATTTCATCTCCCAGTGTCTGGTGGAAAGCAGACTGAACCAGGTTGTCCTCTAGGATTTTGCCTGTGCTTAGCTCCATTCTGTTTCTTTTTTTATCCTGAAACACTCCCCAGTCCTTAACGATTACAAGCATATCCATAACATGATGCAGCCACCACTATGCTTCAAAATATGTTTGGGGCAAATCCAATACTTTGTATTCAGGACAATAAGTTAATTGCTTGCCACATTTTTTGCACTATAACTTTAGTGCCTTGTTGCAAACAGGATGCATGTTTTGGAAAATGTGTATTCTGTACAGGCTTCCTTCTTTTCACTCTGTCAATCAGGTTAGTATTGTGGAGTAACTACAATGTTGTTGAGCCATCCTCAGTTTTCTCCTATCACAGCCATTAAACTCAGTAATTGTTGTGGTCCTCTGTAGCTCAATTGGTAGAGCATGGCGCTTGTAACGCCAGGGTAGTGGGTTTGATCCCCGGGACCACCCATACGTAAAAATGTATGCACACTTGACTGTAAGTCGCTTTGGATAAAAGCGTCTGCTAAATAGCTTATTATTATTATTATTATTATTATTATTATTATTATTATTATTATTATTATTATTATTATTTTAAAGTCACCATTGGCCTCATGGTGAAATCCCTGAGTGGTTTCCTTCCTCTCCAACAAGACAGTTGGGAAGGACGCCTCTGTCTTTGTAGTGACTGGGTGTATTGATACACCATCCAAAGTGTAATTAATAACTTCACCATGCACACAGTGAAATCCAATGTCTGCCAATAGGTGCCCTTTGCGAAGCATTGGAAAACCACCTTGGTCTTTGTGGTTGAATCTGTGTTTGAAATTCACTGCTCGACTGAGGGACCTTACAGATAATTGTATATGTGGGGTACAGAGATGAGGTAGTCATTCAGAAATCATGTTAAACACTAAACACAGATTGAGTCCATGCAACTTATAATGTGACTTGTTAAGCACATTTTTACTCCAGAACTTATTTAGGCTTGCCATAACAAAGGGGTTGAATACTTATTGACTCAATGCATTTCATCTTTTCATTTTTTTATTAATTTGTAAAAATGTCAAGAAACATAATTCCACTTTGACATTACAGGGTATTCTGTGTTGGCCAGTGACATGAAATCTCAATTTAATACATTTTAAATTCAGGCTGTAACACAACAAAATGTGGAAAAAGTCAAAGGGTGCGAATACTTTCTGAAGGCACTGTATGTGGCTTTGGATAAAAGCATCTGCTAAATGGCATATTATATATTACATATTATAGTGAAAAGGCAATTTGAAGGAAGGATGCCTGTGAGTGACAATCCTCATTTCCATCCGTTACGTTGAGGTGAATTGAGTGACCCACATCCACCTAGCAGCAGGCCAGAGCAAATTGCTAGCCAATCAGTGCAATCCTTGAGTGACCTCACCTGTGTGTGTTTGTGCGTGTCTCTCTGTGTGTGTTTGTGTGTGTGTGCGTGTCTTTTTCCTGCAGACGGATCAGCAGGGTAATCCTGTTAGCATGAATGTCCCTCATGTCCAGCTGATCAACCCAGAGAACCAGATCGTTGAGGTTAGTCAGTCCACTCACATCCATTACACAATCCTTCAATGCAGCTGCTCTAGTGACACTGACATGGTGGCCTGTTTTCAATTATCACTTTAAGCTTAGCCTCCTAGCACACTTTATGGTCCAATGCAGCCGTTCTGGGTAACATTTAAGTACCTTACTGTGATTGTTTTCAATTAAAATTGGAAAAAAATAATAATAATTGCTTCTTAGCAAAGAGAAATTTCTCAAGCAAGAATTTTGCTTGGACTGTGGTCTGATTGGGGAGGGGAAAACTAAAAACTAGCTATAAACAGAGAGGTTTGGAACTCTCTTTCTGATTGGTCTATTAACTAATTTACCAGACAGGCCAGCACTCTAGCCCACCAAAACATGCTGAAATTTCAGGCTTTCTTTTCAAACAGCTCTTACACTAAAAGGGCATTATCATAATTTTCACAGTATTATTCCAATCTCATAGTGTGGAAATATGTAAAACTGCACTGGGCCTTTTAAGCAGGAATTTAGGAACTTTGTATCTAGGCCGCACAGTAATTGTGTTGTTTTGTGGGATCCTACAGTAATATTACCCTGTGATTCATATACAGTACCAGTCAAAAGTTTAGACACACCTACTCATTCCAGGGTTTTTCTTAATTATTTACTATTTTCTACATTGTAGAATAATAGTGAAGACATTAAAACTATCAAATAGTTAAACAAATCAAAATATATTTTATATTTGAGATTCTTCAAATGAGCCACCCTTTGCTTTGATGACAGCTTTGCACACTCTTGGCATTCTCTCAACCTGCTTCATGAAGTAGTCACCTGGAATGCATTTCAATTAACAGGTGTGCGTTGTTAAAAGTTAATTTGTGGAATTTCTTTCCTTCGTAATGCGTTTGAGCCAATCAGTTGTGTTGTGACACGGTAGGGGTGGTATACTGAAGATAGCCCTATTTGATAAAAGACCAAGTCCATATTATGGCAAGAACAGCTCAAATAAGCAAAGAGAAACGACAGTCGATCATTACTTTAAGACATGAAGGTCAGTCAATCCGGAAAATTTCAAGAACTTTGAATGTTTCTTCAAGTACAGTCGCATAAACCATCAAGTGCTATGATGAAACTGGCTCTCATGAGGACCGCCACAGAAAAGAAAGACCCGGAGTTACCTCTGCTGCAGAGGATAAGTAGAGTTAGAGTTAACTGCACCTCAGATTGCTGCCCAAATAAATGCTTCACAGAATTCAAGTAACAGACACATCTCAACATCAACTGTTCAGAGAAGACTGCGTGAATCAGGCCTTCATGGTCGAATTTCTGCAAAGAAACCAATAAGAACAAGAGACTTGCTTGGGCCAAGAAACATGAGCAATGGACATTATACCAGTGGAAATCTGTCCTTTGGTCTGGAGTCCAAATTGGACATTTTTGGTTCCAACCGCCGTGTCTTTGTGAGACGCAGTGTGGGTGAACGGATGATCTCCGCATGGAGGAGGAGGTGTGATGGTGTGGGGGTGCTTTGCTGGTGACACTCTGTGATTTGTTTAGAATTCAAGGCACACTTGACCAGCATGGCTACCACAGCATTCTGCAGCGATACGCCATCCCATCTGGTTTGCGCTTAGTGGGACTATCATTTGTTTTTCAACAGGACAAAGACCCAAAACACACCTCCAGGCTGTGTAAGGGCTATTTGACCAAGAAGGAGAATGATGGAGTGCTACATCAGATGACCTGGCATCCACAATCACCCGACCTCAACCCAATTGAGATGGTTTGGGATGAGTTGGACCGCAGAGTGAAGGAAAAGCAGCCAACAAGTGCTCAGCATATGTGGGAACTCCTTCAAGACTGTTGGAAAAGTATTCCTCATGAAGCTGGTTGAGAGAATGCCAAGAGTGTGCAAAGCCGTCATCAAGGCAAAGGGTGGCTTCTTTGAAGAATTTAAAATATATTTTTGATTTGTTTAACACTTTTTTGCTTACTACATGATTCCATATGTGTTATTTCATAGTTTTGATGTCTTCACTATTATTCTACAATATGGAAAATAGTAAAAATAAAGCAAAACCCTTGAATGAGTAGGTGTGTCCAAACTTTTGACTGGGACTGTATATCGAACTCTGAATTGCTCAGATACACATACCACATACACAAATGCAGAAACAAATTGTTACACATACAGATATTATTTGTCTTTTGTGTAGCCGGATGGAAACATGGCCCTGGACAGTGATGACGCGGAGGAGCCGTCTCCAGAGGCCATGGCTCGATACCTGTCCATGAGGCGTCACACTGTGGGCGTCCCAGACCCCAGGTACTGTATACACCTTGTCTCTCCCGCCTGTCTGTCTGTCTGTCTCTGGCTGTTTGGTTGGCTGGCTGTCTGGCTATCTAGCTGGTTGTCTTTCTGTCTGTGTGGGTGTGTACGTGTGTGCTTGCATCTCCTTACTGACTGTGTTCTTCTCTATCAGGACGGAGATGCAGGAGGATCTGCAGAAGCTGCCCCCTGGGTTCACCCGTGTGGCCCCCCAGCCCCCCTTCCCCATGCCCCCTACCATGGGCCACATACACACACTGATGCCCACCCAGAACCCACACCTGCAGCCCACACAGCAGCTGGAATACAAGGTGAGGGATCGAAAGGCATGTGTGTTTCTTTTTGTGTATGTATGTATGTGTGGTATGACAGAGTATAGTTACAAAGTCCATGTATATTTATATATGTGTGGGCCACACTGATGCCCCTCCCTCTCTCTGTCCCTCCAGGAGCAGTCCCTGCTGCAGCCCCCCACCCTGCAGCTGCTGAATGGCATGGGACCCCTGGGTCGCAGGGCCTCGGACGGCGGGGCCAACATCCAGCTGCACGCCCAGCTACTGAAGAGGCCACGGGGACAGTCCCCTCTGGTCGCCAACCCTGTGAGTCCCATTATTTCAAATGCTTGGGAGTATTTATTTGTATTTGAGTATTTTTTAAATACATGCCAGTACTTTTCTAGTGCATTTCCAAATGCATTCCAATATTCAACTACTTGTGTTTTCCCAAATGTCTTTGAAAGTAATTGAAATACCCTAAATAGTATTTGAATGGAGGTCTGTTAAGAGCATAGTTTTTGTCTAGTCCAGTCTGCTATGTCCCTGCTCTGTCTACTGAGGTGACAGTTTGTTTTATACACCCCCCACCTGTTTTCAGAGTGTCACTGTCCAACATTGTTTTTCCTCATCATGTTCTCTCCATCTCCTCCTCCCGTTCTCTCCCTCCTTCTCGCAGCACCCCATCCCGGCTGTGGCTCCGGTGGATGAGGAGGGTTCTGACGGGGAACCCGACCAGGAGGCGGTGCAGAGGTAAACCTGGGAGGGTGACAGGGACAGGGGGGTTTTGGGGCGTGACCGTAGAAGCGCTGGTGTTCCTGGGTTACTGGGAGTCGAGGTGCAAGTAGGCTGCAGCACTGCTTTCTGCCACCGGTGGACCTGGCCACTATTGTTCCGGTGCCTTCTTACCCCCCCTCTCCATCACGCAACTGGCTTTCATAAGGCAATCAATCAACTCTTCTCCAACTTCTACCAAATCTACCTCTCTAAATCTCCTCTTAAAATATGTCTATCTCTCATTTCAAATTATGCCGCCCAATTATTTTGCCACGGCTTCGCTTACACTAAGCTTGCTCAAACAATCCAATCCTCAAATTGGAACGGGGGGTTGTGGGAGTTATCTGATATGTGATTCGTCCTGCCTGAAGGAAGGGGGAGGGTGGTTTTGCCCCTCCCCCACGCAAGGGCCAATGAGGACAGAGAGCTGACCAGTGCTGCTTCCTGTCTCCCTCCCCGCGGCCCAGGTACTTGGCGAACCGCTCCAAGCGGCACACGACGCACGCGCTCATGAGCACAGCGCACGGCGGTGAGCCGCTGGCAGACTCGCAGAGGCCCCAGGGCTCCCGGCAGAGGGGGTGGGCCCCGGAGCAGCACTGCCGGTGAGGGGCCCCACACTGAGGCTGACAGACACCCCAGGCCAGGGGGGGCATGCATGGGCCCCAACACACAGCAACGAGGGACCAGGGACAGTAACTAGAGATAGGGACACAATCACTAAGGCGCACAGACACACATACACCCCCTTCACTGAGCCGAAAGTCCACACTGGGGGGGGGGGGGGGGTATGCATGGCCCCAGCATTCAGCGAGGCAGGGTAGGGGTACGGGAACTTTAGAGACATTCACCGAGACACATATTCTCACTCTATAATGAGCTGAAAGTCCACACCAGGGGGGCATGCATGGGCGCCAGCCAGCACACAGGAGCAGGGACCTGGACAACAGTGCACCATGCAGGTTACACTATCACAGTCACCAGCTTGAAGCATGCAATATGAGGACTTCTAGTGAACCAGGGGTATGCTAGGTAACAGAACTGTTATCAGAGCCTTGCTCCGAGTTCTCCTCCTGAGCTGCAGGTCAGCCATTGGACAGTCGGTTGTGGAGAAGCTGCCATCTCATTGGATGAGGTCTGTCTGGCCAGGACGGGCCCTATGTATCAAGCATCTCAGACTAGGAGTGCTGATCTAGAATCAGATCCCCCCATCTCTTCTCCATCTATTATTCATTATGATCTAAACGGCAAAACTGATTCTAGATCAGCACTCCTACTCTGAGATGCTTGATACATACGGCCGGCCGTTGATCTTCTGATATTGATTGAACACGTTCAACTCTGTTTAGGAGAAACATCGTTATTATCCCAAACTGTTCATTCTACAGCCAGTTTAAGTTAGCCTAAGCTATTCTCTGATTTCTCTAGCTAGCTATTCTCGATGACCGCAAATGAAGGACGCTTAGATGTTACAGCCAGGTATGGGATTCTCCAAATGAGCCTGTCGATCAGGTCTTGGTTTGGACTTGGTATGATGAGACACGGATGCAGTCCTGCTGTGTGTTGCTGTGGATCCGGTGTTCACGGCTCTATGATCAGCTCTGTGTTTACAGTGACATTATGATGCAGAGAGACCAGAGTAGCTCATGTAAATGTGTTTTTTCATTTTTCTATCTGTGTATGACTGTGTCTGTGTGCGACTTCACCTGTGTATGCATTTCTGCGACTTCATTTCTGTATCCGTTCCTGTCTATGTCTGGCTCCTGTCTATGTCTGGCTCCTGTCTATGTCTGGCTCCTGTCTATGCATCTGGATCTGTGTGTCTGTGTGTGTGCGGCTCTGTGCGTCTCCCCAGGTCCAGCTACAAGGACTGTAACACCCTGCACTTGCCCATGGAGCGTTTCTCCCCCGTGAGGCGCTTCTCCGATGGAGCCACCACCATCCAGGCCTTTAAGGCCCACCTGGAAAACAGCAGCCTCATCAGGCAGCTCAAACAGGTACTGTACACCCCCACCTGGTTCAATACACCCCCACCTGGTTCTGTACACCCCCACCTGGTTCTGTCTTCCCGAGTGGCGCAGTGGTCTAAGGCACTGCATCACAGTGCTAGCTGTGCCACTAGAGATCCTGGTTCGAATCCAGGCTCTGTCGTAGCCGCCGCGACCGGGAGACCCATGGGCGGTGCGCAATTGGCCCAGCATCGTCCAGGGTAGGGAGGGAATGGCCGGCAGGGATGTAGCTCAGTTGATAGAGCATGGCGTTTGCAACGCCAGGGTTGTGGGTTCGATTCCCACAGGGGGTATGAAAAAAATAATGTATGCACTAACTGTAAGTCGCTCTGGATAAGAGCGTCTGCTAAATGACTAAAATGTAAATGTAATGTAAATGTTCTATACACCCCCCCACCGGGTTTTATACACCCCCACCTGGTGTTGTAAACCCACACCTAGGGCTGTTACGGTGACCGTATGTATTACAGCAGTCAAATTCCACATGACCATTTAGTCAAGGTAACTAGGCTTCTCCAAAATTGCACTCTGATGCTGCTGATGGTCATTAGCCTACCAAGCTTGCTTAACTGCCAGTCGCTAATGGTCTGGTACTCAGCGCTCTGTTGTCCCTCTAATCACTCTGACATCAATGCAAATGCTGTCGAAAATAAAATCAAACAGCCCGTGAGCTCATGTTGCACAACATTTCTATAGGCTATGCAACTGTATTTTGAAATATTGCGATATGCTTGGCTTGGCCTCTCTACTTTTTGCAACTCAACAATAATCCTTCCGTCTGTAGGCAATACGATTTTAAACAATTCACTTTTTTTTTTAAAGAAGCTAATTATCCTCTGTGGCCAAATCATGCTTTAGGAGCCTACTTTGAATTATTTTGTTTATTTCTGTATAGACAGGAGGAGGCTAATTTGGCTATATAATTTTGGCAATTTAATTCAATTTACTTTAGGGAAAGCTTAGCTTCCCTTAGTCTTATGGACGCGCCGCCTATGCTTTCATATTAAAAACGTAACCGCACGTAACCTCCATTCGCTATTCGAGTGCAGGCTATGGATGACATGTTTTCTTTTTGTGGGCAATTCTAAATCAAAAATAATTCCACACACTCGCTGGCACGGAAATAGGCATGAATGATCAGTTCCCGAAGAAAGCCGCAATGTTCTGTACACACTATTCAAGGAGAATAGATTAAAAGGGAAACGTGTAGCTCTCGTAGTCGATAAACTGTATATTGATAACCAAATGTTCCGAGATACCAAGACCACTCCATGGCTATTCTAAATATTACGAAGTTCCCATAGAGGAGTGGAATAATGGAACACCCAATACTATCCATGGTAGGGATTGTAATAAGAAAATATACAGGGAAACAATCAAATACAACAATTGATAAAGAAATAAACTACAACTACACTATATCATTCAAGATGGTAGGGAATGTTGTAAAATAATTATTATTCGACTTTCTATTTATAGTATTTTATAAATAGAAAAGACAGCATTAGAAGAAAGGATAATTAGCTAAATAATACATCTTCAAATATAACGAACTGGAACACAAAAGTACTCAGAATCAACATGGTAGGGATAAAAACACAGCAAACAGAGGACATACAGTGACAGGCGAAAGTATTCACCCCCCTTCGCATTTTCCCTATTTTGTTGCCTTACAACCTGGAATTAAAATGGATTTTTGGGGGGTTTGTATCATTTGATTTACACAACATGCCTACCACTTTGAAGATGCAAAATATTTTTTCTTGTGAAACAAACAAAAAATAAGACAAAAATACAGAACTTGAGCATGCATAACTATTCATCCCCCAAAAGTCAATACTTTGTAGAGCCACCTTTTGCAGCAATTACAGCTGCAAGTCTCTTGGGGTATGTCTCTATAAGCTTGGCACATCTAGCCAGTGGGATTTTTGCCCATTCTTCAAGGCAAAACTGCTCCAGCTCCTTCAAGTTGGATGGGTTCCGGTGGTATACAGCAATTTTTAAGTAATACCACAGATTCTCAATTGGATTGAGGTCTGGGCTTTGACTAGTCCATTCCAATACATTTAAATGTTTCCCCTTAAACCACTCAAGAGTTGCTTTAGCTGTATGCTTAGGGTCATTGTCCTGCTGGAAGGTGAACCTCCGTCCCAGTCTCAAATCTTTGGAAGACTGAAACAGGTTTACCTCAAGAATTTCCCTGTATTTAGCACCATCCATCATTCCTTCAATTCTGACCAGTTTCCCAGTCCCTGCCGATGAAAAACATCCCCACAGCATGATGCTGCCACCACCATGCTTCTCTGTGGGGATGGTGTTCTCGGGGTGATGAGAGGTGTTTTGGTTTGCGCCAGACATAGTGTTTTCCTTGATGGCCAAAAAGCTCAATTTTTGTCTCATCTTACCAGAGTACAGTCTCCCACATGCCTTTTTGGCGAACACCAAACGTGTTTGCTTATTTTTTTCTTTAAGCAATGGCTTTTTTCTGGCCACTCTTCCATAAAGCCCAGCTCTGTGAAGTGTACGGTTTAAAGTGGTCCTATGGACAGATACTCCAATCTCCGCTGTGGAGCTTTTCAGCTCCTTCAGGGTTATCTTTGGTGTCAGATTAATGCCCTCCTTGCCTGGTCCGTGAGTTTTGGTGGGCGGCCCTCTCTTGGCACGTTTGTTGTGGTGCCATATTCTTTCAATTTTTTAATAATGGATTTAATGGTGCTCCGTGGGATGTTCAAAGTTTCGGATATTTTTTTATAACCCAACCCTGATCTGTACTTCTCCACAACTTTGTCCCTGACCTGTTTGGAGAGCTCCTTGGTCTTCATGGTGCCGCTTGTTTGGTGGTGCCCCTTGCTTAGTGGTGTTGCAGACTCTGGGGCCTTTCAGAACAGGTGTATATATACTGAGATCATGTGACAGATCATGTGACACTTAGATTGCACACAGGTGGACTTTATTTAACTAATTATGTGACTTCTGGAGGTAATTGGTTGCACCAGATCTTACTTAGGGGCTTCATAGCAAAGGGGGTGAATACATATGCACGCACCACTTTTCCGTTATTTATTTTTTAGAATTTTTTGAAACAAGTATGCACAGTATGTGGGTATGTATGGGTGTATTGTGATGGTGGGGGGGGGTTGTGTTTGGAAAAGTGTGTTAAGTGAGTGTAAAGTTAAGTGAGTGAAAAAGGCAAATGGTTGCAAATCCCAGAGCCCATGTGTGTCTGCGAGCAGGGGTTGTGAGAGCGAGCTTTCAGTCTTGTGCAGATATGGGATATACATTAAAAATATATATATAAATATATGTCCTATCATGATGGGACGGTCCCCAACCCTATACTCTAGACACCCACTTGAGCGACCCATACACTAAGGAGAAGTCTTTATCTGTATCTAGCCCTACACTCAGCCAAAACAGAAAGATAAATTCGGTCAGAGACCCACTAAAGCAGCACCGCCCCCTCAAGATTCTGAGCCTGCCTGGCAGGGTCGGTCCTACAAAGCCAAAGCTCCCTGATGGGTGAGCATAATATACAAAGAATTTCTCCATCAGCTAGGATTTGACATTGGTTAATCAAATCTCCCCATTTTTGCATGCCGTCTCAAACAGCTGCAACTGTATATGCATTCGCACATCAAGTCCTTTCTTGAGTTGGGCTCGAGGATGGAACAACTGTTGAGCATCTGAGCTTGTGGTTGTTTGTGGGGGAAAGGGGTTGAGTGTGTATGAGTATGTATCCCACATCTGTTGCTATGGGGTAATGATGTTAGTGACAATATAGCATGAATCACAATTAGGGTGGTGGCGGTCACAAAATGTTGTCAGCCGGTGATTGTCAAGCAAATAACTGTCGGTCTCACGGTAATTGACCGTTAATTAACATAAACACATTTAGTATCTCCTGGCTTCCACAAAGCATACAAGCCATTAAAAAAAGTATAATAAATACATGTAATATAGCCTACACCTTCACGAATAAATCCATTACTTATTTTAGACAGGTCTAAAGAAGCATGATATGAAGAAAATGTAGTCTATTTCAGAAGAAAATAATAGTATACTCTTGAGTTGTCCTTATGTTATGTCCTGATGTGGCTATGCCAAATGGCTGTGGGCTACACTAGTTCATTTTGCAGACAAGATTTGCTTAGAATTCTGTGGCATTATTTTATATTATTTTATAGTATGAAGAATACAATTGAACAAAGCTGAATAAAATATAAATATTTTCTCCAAACAATTTGAAGGAGTTGGCAAATGCGGCTATTCTGTGTTGAGCGTTTAACAAAGAAATAGGTACTCCTATATGCTTAATTTAGAGTTATTAATGTAACTTTAGTTCTACAAACGTTGGGCTATATGTTTAGATTTTTAATACATTGTAAGGCTGCATGATGAGACTAATGATGATTTGAAAAAAGTTGCTTGAAAGGCATGAGCTCTGCTTTGTTTTTTTGCGCAGGCTGTACACACTCCAATAGTCTCTCATTCACAATTTGACAAGCACTTGATACTGCCTCAAAATTCACGGCGGCATCCCCTTTGTGGCCATAGTGCACCCTAAAAAAATCCATGCCTTTTGCAGCCCGTAGTGCTGCGTTGTGCCCTTCTCCATGAGTGTGCTGCGCAATCCGAAGCGCCTCTCACTCACATGGCTCTCTGTCACGTGATCAGGTCTTTCTCACAGACTACAAGTGAAGACAGACACATCGGGGACGCAACTGCACTCGTCCTAATCCAATTCCGAGGTGCATATTGAAGATATTGGAAGAACTGTCCACATTTACTTTTTGTCAGCCAACAAGATGAGTAGGCCTAACGAACAGCAAAAGCACTAGCCTATGTCAATCTACTATCCCCCATAGTACAAAAGTTGATCTGTTCTGTGCGAGAAATAAATATTCCAAACATAGTCTGGACAGTTGTGGGATGCGATAAATCCCAAATTAATACAACCACTAGCATCCCAAAACTTTTTTTTATGAAATGTGGCTGACTCAACAGATCAGAATGTTTAGCTTAAAATGTTGATAAACTATTAGGCTATTTTTTCACATTATGTGCAGCAATGTGCACATGGTAGTAGGCTATAAGCGCGAATGTTCCATTAGATGAAAACACCATTAGCAAAAGTGACCGCAAATGCAATTATGCATGTAATGCTTTTATTATAAAAGTGCATTTGTATGGTGAAAATGATCTTCCCCAAACTTGAAACTCACACGCTGCTTATATATGCCAGTTAGGCTCTACACCCGTTGTAAAGCGGATTAATGTGCTTAATTTTAATAAGTTATTTAGGCCACTTTAGTTGTGATACAAATCTTATTAAAACATATAGGCCTATGGGCTAGGCTACATGAGGTGTGCGACTATGATTAGAAAAAGTTGCAAAAAAAAGGCATTGTTGCTTATGCTGGGCATCACTCACAAGTGATAATATATCATTCACAAGTGATAGGCTAATATTGTCACCCATCAGACTATTCTTGATTTAATCTTGTCTTTACATATACAAAATAATATATGTGTGACATTTGTTTTGATTTAGAATGGACCATTATCATGCACCTGTATCAAAACAGGGGCAGCAGGAAAGAATACATGTAATCTATGCACTTAAATAGCGAATGGAGGACGCTTTTCCCGTGGTTCATTTTCATGGCAGCCAGGTAGGCTATACTCGTGTTGTAAATATAAGCAATGTGCTTAATATTAGGAAAGTTGAGAAATAAATATAGTAGGCCTAGCCTATAGAAAGCTGATGGGATCCTCCTCTTTCTATTAGCAGCCATCACTCAGTTTTTTCCCGCAATTCCATAGCCTATAGAAATGTTGCGCAACATGAGCTCATGGGTTCTCATTAAGTGTTTGATTCGATTTTCGAATACATTTGCATTGATGTCAGAGTGATTAGAGGGACAATAGAGTGCTGAGTACCAGGCAGTTAGCAAGTTTGGTAGGTTACTAATGACCAGCAGCAGCATCAGAACTTGGAGAAGCATAATTACCGTGACTAAACGGTCATGTGGAATTTGACTGCCTTCATGACTCGTGACCGCCGGTGTGGCGGTAATACGGTCCCCGCAACAGCCCTAATCACAATAATTGTTGGCTAAAATAATAATTGTTTGGCACAAATGTAATTTTTGTAATGGAAATCCTGGTAATAGGTAACAATCCTTTGCATGAACTGCCTACATTATTACGCATATTATTCGTTAATTGTGGAAATTAAGATATGCAAGATTTTTTTATATATACTACCGGTCAAAAGTTTTAGAACACCTACTCATTCAAGGGTTTTTCTTTATTTTTACTATTTTATACATTGCAGAATAATAGTGAAGACATCAAAACTATGAAATAACACATATGGAATCATGTAGTAACCAAAAAAGTGTTAAACAAATCCAAATATATTTTATATTTGAGATTCTTCAAATAGCCACCCTTTGCCTTGATGACAGCTTTGCACACTCTTGGCATTCTCTCAACCAGCTTCACCTGGAAAGCTTTTCCAACAGTCTTGAAGGAGTTCCCACATATGCTGAGCACTTGTTGGCTGCTTTTCCTTCACTCTGCCTTCTGACTCATCCCAAACCATCTCAATTGGGTTGAGGTCGGGGGATTGTGGAGGCCAGGTCATCTGATGCAGCACTCCATCACTCTCCTCCTTGGTAAAATAACCCTTACACAGCCTGGAGGTGTGTTGGGTCATTGTCCTGTTGAAAAACAAATGATAGTCCCACTAAGCCCAATCTAGGTGGGATGGCGTATCACTGCAGAATGCTGTGGTAGCCATGCTGGTTAAGTGTGCCTTGAATTCTAAACAAATCACAGATAGTGTCACAAGCAAAGCACCCCCACACCATAACACCTCCTCCTCCATGCTTTACATGCAGAGTTCATCCGTTCACCCACACCGCGTCTCACAAAGACATGGCGGTTGGAACCAAAAATCTCCAATTTGGTTTCCAGACCAAAGGCCAGATTACGACCGGTCTAATGTCCATTGCTCGTGTTTCTTGGCCCAAGCAGGTCTCTTCTTCTTATTGGTGTCCTTTAGTAGTGGTTTCTTTGCAGCAATTCGACCATGAAGGCCTGATTCACACAGTCTCCTCTAAACAGTTGATGTAGAGATGTGTCTGTGACTTGAACTCTGTGAAGCATTTATTTGGGCTGCAATTTTTGAGGCTGGTAACTCTAATGAACTTATCCTCTGCAGCAGAGGTAACTCTGGGTCTTCCATTCCTGCGGCGGTCCTCATGAGAGCCAGTTTCATCATAGCGCTTGATGGTTTTTGTGACTGCACAAAGTTCTTGAAATGTTCCATATTGACTGTCCTTCATGTCTTAAAGTAATGATGGACTGTTGTTTCTTTTTGCTTATTTGAGCTGTTCTTGCCATAATATGGTCTTTTACCAAATAGGGATATCTTCTGTATACCCCCCCTACCTTGTCACAACACAACTGATTTGGCTCAAACGCATTAAGAAGGAAAGACATTCCACAAATTAACTTTTAAGAAGGCACACCTGTTAATTGAAATGCATTCCAGTTGACTACCTCATGAAGCTAGTTGAGAGAATGCCAAGAGTGTGCAAAGCTGTCATCAAGGCAAAGGGTGGCTATTTGAAGAATCTCAAATATAAAATATATTTGGATTTGTTTAACACTTTTTTTTTGGGTGGGGGGGGGTCCAATGCAAATAGTCCAGGTAGCCATTTAGTTAGCTGTTCAGCAGTCTTATGGCTTGGGGGTAGAAGCTGTTACGAAGCCTTTTGGACCTAGACTTGGATTGATTTGAATCTCTTTTATCATTGCATTCTATTATCATTGGGTATTCTGAGTGAAAGTGACAGCAAATAATGCTATTTATTATATTTTGGGTTCCACTGTCTTTCTTTGTGTGGCCTCTAACGACAATATGTTTGTGTGTTTGTGCGCGTATGTGTACCAGGAGTGTGAGCAGCTGCAGAAGATGTACGCTTGCCCACAGGACGAGAGGCTGCTGGAGCACACACAACAACAACATTTCCTGTACCAGCAGGAGCAGCAGATTCTACACCAGCAGATACAGGTCACTGTGACACACATACACACGACACACACACACACGACACACATTGCATAGTTTGTATCAGCGGGAGCAGCGTTTTCTACACTAGCAGATGGAAGTCACTATGACCCTAGCCAAGCCATTTCTGTCCTCATCTCTTCTCTCTCTGAAAGACACACTCTCACAGCATGAAATCCAGGTCCATGTGACACAAACGCAGTAAACACATGCCATTATGTGTTCCTAAATAGTTAGTTCTTCCTTCTGCAGGCCCTGTCTTTGGGACACGGAGAGTGCCAGCCCAGTCATCTTACCCACCAGCTCCAGAGGTGAGAACACCACATACACATGCACCCTGAGTTGTCAACAACGCTGAGCGAGAGACTAATGATAATCATTAGTGACACATTTTTATGTATTTGTTTTTAGACACATAGGTTCAGGGTAACACATTCAATGGCAATAGTCTGCTAAACACATGTAGCGCAGCTCAGAGAAGCTCCACCAACAAGCCAGGCTTTTGTGCCGCTATATTGATTTGAGGGTTATTTACATCCCTGTCTGTTCTCTCCCTTCCCTCAGGTTGCGTATCCAGCCCTCCAGCCCACCGCCTACACATCCCAGCAACCACCTGTTCAGACAGCCCAATCAGAGTCCCCCTCCAACAGCGATGATGCAGGGGCATGGTGAGTTCTAACTCCACCCCTTAGCCTTATTTGTCTTTTTATTGGACTAAAGGACTGAATGATCAGTCAATATGACTAAATTGTTAATGATCCCTTATTAGGACTAAGTGATGGTTGAAATAACCAGTTTGTAGATACAGTAGCTCTCTCCTGACTGACTGATCTCTCCCTCCTCCCCCCAGGTGTGCCATCAGCGGTTCAGTACCAGCACGGCCCCGCTCTCTACCAGCCCTCCAGCGGGAGTCCTCCCCCTTGTGGCCTCCGCCCCGTCACCCTGCCTCCCCAGCAGCAGCAGCCCTGCTCTTCCTCCCGTGGTGGGGGCGTCCCCATGCCCCAGCAGCAGGTGACTATCCAGGTGCAGGAGGTGGAGCTGGGAGGAGGCGGGGGCCTGCAGCGTCAGCAGCAGGCCTTCCTTTCCACGCCGTGCGGCCACCGGGTCCTGGGGAAGCAGCTGAGCGCAGACAACGCTGAGACCCACAGGTGACCCTCGCGCTGCCGCTCGCCCGTGCGCCAGACCCGGCATGGCTGTTTCCCTTTGCACTTCACCATAAGGATACTCCTGCAGCAGTTTTTTCTGCCATTACTTTTCTTCAACTTTTATGTTCTTCAACTCTGTGTTTTGGACTTTCTCGCATGTACTCACTCTGTGAATTCTTCCATATTTATTTTAGTTTTCATCATGTTCACAGTTATTGTAGATTTCAGTCTCTCATACATCAGTCAACCCTAGGAAGCCATGTTCCTGAATTCAAAAACTCACTCATAGGACAGTTTTATAAACGTGCTGCCCGTTATGTGAATCTTTTTGGGCTTGTATTATTTTGGGGGGGGTTAGAGCCAGCACGTGGTGCATCCTAAATGGCCCTGGTCAAAAGTACTCTATATAGCAGGGATGTCAAACATACGGATCCGTGAGCCCGGTCAATCCGGCCCTTTCGAAAACGAAAGCTAGACAGTCAGCGATCATAGAAAATCCCAAAAGCGATAGATAGAGGGTTATGTTACATTTTGCAAATTTTGACTGCGAGGAAATATAATCATTGTTAGGTGCGGCCCTCGGGACCTCGTTGAAGACTGAATGCGACCGGCGGGGCACATCTTTTGGACACCCCTGCTATTTAGGGACACATAGGGTCTTACACCTGATAGGTTAGTGGATTTCAGACAAATTCTTGTGGGTTTTTACATTGAGAAATACAGTTGTTACTAAAGTGTTTTGATAACCCAAAAAACCTACTTGGCTGAGGAAGAAGACATCACGTCACCACTGAATCCTCCGCTGAGATTGGCTGACTAAATGGACGTAGGTGGTGGGATGACTGCTAGTGGTAGAAGTGTCACCCCACTGTAGGAACTAGGCAGATCTACACTCAACAGTCTGTGTGTTGTATTTCTATGTTTAGTCTAGACCCAGTTCACTGATGGGGTGATAAGCTTGGCGGTTACCTCATTATTGGATTTTCCTGTCATTTCTTCTGGCAAAGCAACAGAATTTGTGTGTATTTGACTGCTTACACACCCCTCAGTGGACTTGTGACCTATAATCCGGAAGGGTTTCTGTGCTGATGATGACCCATAATTGGGGTTCATAGTGTTGTAATTAAAGGTGTAGAAGTACATGTAGAATTGTATTGTCATTGTATCACGTAGACATATTTGTGTTTTGTGACATTCTCCTCTCACCTCTCATAATGTTCATAAATAACTCATTTCCGTTTTATACTACTAATAATAATAACTGTCCTTTTTTTCTTATATACTTCCTCAATCCCAAATACTTTATCTCAATGGTGTATTTGTTTTTTTCCACTCAGAACTCTCAGTATTTGCAAGAGTTTGTGTTGGATGATACACTTTGTTGCTAGTGGCATTAGCTGACTATTCCCCCTTTCTTCCCTGGTCCCTCCCTCCCCAGTCGCAGCCTCGGACGGTTCAACACATACGACCAGGCCGCCTTCAACAACCCCCATCTGTTCAGTGAGGGGTCTCGGCCCTCGGGAGTGGTGGGGGGCTACAACCCCTACCTCCAGGGGACCTCCCTCAAGGTGCCAGGGATGGAGGGCTACCAGGGTGGGGTGGTCGGTGGGGCCGGAGGCGGGGGCTACGGGAGCCCCTCTGCCCTGCAGCAGGCTCTGCTCTCCCCCACCCCCCTGGAGTACCGGCCCCAGCAGCACGTCACCCCCACCCTACAGGGTCTCCTCTCCCCCCGCCACTCCCTGACAGGTCACGCCGACCCCCGTCTGCCCCCCCAGGACCTGGCCTCCCTGCTGAAGAGGCAGAGCCCTAGACCGGCACCCCCCACGCTCCCCAACGTGCCCCAGGACTACGGGGAGATGCTGCTGCGCCAGCTCGGCCAAGGGGAGTCTCTGGAGGCGGGGAGCCCCTACCAACACCTCCTCCAGATCAGGCCCCCAGATGTCCAGCCCCCCAGCCTGTCCCACTCTGAGAGCATGGAGGAGGATGACCTGCCGCCTGGCTACCATGAGGGCCTCCTGGCCAAGGCCCAAGGCTGTGGGGACGGCCATGACCTGCTGGGCACCCCCCGGGGAGGGACGTCCCCCTACAACTCCCCAACACACAGACACGCCTACATGAGGAGCACCACCACAGCCAGAGGTAAGGGCCAAGCAGACTCAACCATAGAAATAGAATGACTATATAGATTCTGTAGATCCTATTTCTATGGTCTCAAACAGCTTTCATATCCCTGTATGCTGATATTCACATGCTTTTTACACGCTCTCTTGCTTCGGTCACACAAACTACATTCTACATTGTTAACTTAGCAACTTCAGTAATCCCTCCCTCCTTCTCTCCCCCTTCCAGACAATGAGCATGTTGACTGCAGGACCCAGGGGCAGCAGGGTATGGAGCAGGGCGTGCCTGACCGTAACGGAGTGGGTTACTCCACCAGGGGCCCCCAGGGGGACGGCTATCGGCCCCGGGGCCAGCTACAGCGCCACCACACCATCCAGACCTGTGACGACGCCTATGTGAGTCTCTCATGGTGCCATAATGTGCTCCGTTTGGGACAATAGATTTAGAATCTACAGAATCTCTCAGCCTCATGTAGACCTCAAAGGATTGGATAGTTTCATTGGATAGGTCTTAGTTTACCTAGCACGATGCACCGTGTTGCTCATACCTATCCTTTCAGATCTATATGGCATGCCTAGGGGTAGGGACTAGGGGTTGATTTGGAATTTAACATTGTGTGTCTGTGTGCGGGCATGCATTTATGTACTTAACGGGTCTTTCTGTACCTCCTCAGGACCAGGCCGAACCCATGTCTGGGATGAGCCTATTGGCTGGCAAGGCTCTGAGCTCCGCCCGCATGTCTGACATCCTCAGCCAATCATCTCTGACAGGAAGCCAGCAGCTCCACCAGCGGGAAGAGTCAGGTCAGTGTCACGTGCACATACACATATACATACACACACACACACACTAAACGAGTTAAAGTGAGTGAAACATGGCAGACTCAGTCGGGTCTAAGTAAAAATAATTTCTATCACATGACTAATATAGTATAATAATATGCCATTTTAGCAGACACTTTTATCCAAAGCAACTTACAGTAGTGCATGCATACATTTTCTATTGGTGGTCCCAAAGGGAATTGAACCCATAATCCTAGCGTTATAAATACACTACCAGTCAAAAGTTTGGACACACCTACTCATTCAAGGTTTTTTCTTAATTTTTTCTAATTTTTTTACATTGTAGAATAATAGTGAAGACATAAAAACTATGAAATAACACATGGAATCATGTAGTAACCAAAAAAGTGTTAAACAAATCAAAATATATTTTATATTTGAGATTCTTCAAATAGCCACCCTTTGCCTTGATCAATCAATCAATCAAAAAAAAATTATAAAGCCCTTTTTACATGCTATACAGAATCCCAGCCAAAAAACCCAAACAGCAAGCAATGCAGATGTAGAAGCACAGTGGCTAGGAAAAACTCCCTAGAAAGGCAGAAACCTAGAGAGGAACCAGGCTCTGAGGGGTGGCCAGTCCCCTTCTGGCTGTGCTGGGTGGAGATTATAACAGTACATGGCCATTAAGGCCAGATTTTTCTCCAAGATGTTCAAACGTTCATAGATGACCAGCAGGGTCAAATAATAATCACAGTGGTTGTAGAGGTTTGCAACAGGTCAGTACATCAGGAGTAAATGTCACTTGGCTTTTCATAGCCTGGCATTTAGAGGTTGAAATAGTAGGTGCGGTATAGAGAGATAGTTGAAAACAGCAGGTCTGGGACAAGGTAGCATGTCCGGTGAACAGGTCAGGGTTCCATAGTCGCAGGCAGAAGAGTTGAAACTGGAGCAGCAGCACGACCAGGTGGACTGGGGACAGCAAGGAGGCATTAGGCCAGGTAGTCCTGAGATATGGTCCTAGGGCTCAGGTCCTCCAGGATGGGAGGGAGAGATGACAGCTTTGCACACTCTTGGCATTCTCTCAACCAGCTTCATGAGGTAGTCACCTGGAATGCATTTCAATTAACAGGTGTGCCTTCTTAAATATTAATTTGTGGAATTTCTTTCCTTCTTAATGCGTTTGAGCCAATCAGTTGTGTTGTGACAAGGTAGGGGGAGTATACAGAAGATAGCCCTATTTGGTAAAATACCATGTCCATATTATGGCAAGAACAGCTCAAATAAGCAAAGAGAAACGACAGTCCATCATTACTTTTTAAGACATGAAGTTCAGTGAATATGGAAAATGTCAAGAACTTTGAAAGTTTCTTCAAGTGCAGTCGCAAAAACCATCAAGCGCTATGATTAAACTGGCTCTCATGAGGACCGCCACAGGAATGGAAGACCCAGACCAGCCTTAGAAATTGCAGCCCAAATAAATGCTTCACAGAGTTCAAGTCACAGACACATCTCAACATCAACTGTTCAGAGGGGACTGTGTGAATCAGGCCTTCATGGTCGAATTGCTGCAAAGAAAATACTACTAAAGGACACCAATAAGAAAAAGAGACCTGCTTCGGCCAAGAAACAAGAGCAATGGACATTAGACCGGTGGAAATTTGTCCTTTGGTCTGGAGTCCAAATTTGATATTTTTAGTTCCAACCGCTGTGTCTTTGTGAGACGTGGTGTGGGTGAACGGATGATCTCCGCATGTGTAGTTCCCACAGTAAAGCATGGAGGAGGAGGTGTTATGGTGTGGGGGTGCTTTGGTGTGGGGGTGCTTTGCTGGTGACACTGTCTGTGATTTATTTAGAATTGAAGGCACACTTAACCAGCATGGCTACCACAGCATTCTGCAGTGATACGCCACGCCATCCCATCTGGTTTGGGCTTAGTGGGAATATCATTTGTTTTTCAACAGGACAATGACCCAACACACCTCCAGGCTGTGTAAGGGCTATTTTATCAAGAAGCAGAGTGATGGAGTGCTGCATCAGATGACCTGGCCTCCACAATCCCCCGAACTCAACCAAATTGAGTCGGACAGCAGAGTGAAGGAAAAGCAGCCAACAAGTGCTCAGCATATGTGGGAACTCCTTCAAGACTGTTGGAAAGCATTCCAGGTGAAGCTGGTTGAGAGATTGCCAAGAGTGTGCAAAGCTGTCATCAAGGCAAAGGGTGGCTATTTGAAGATTCTCAAATATAAAAGATATTTTGATTTTTGGTTACTACATGATTCCATATGTGTTATTTCATAGTTTTGATGTCTTCACTATTATTCTACAATGTAGAAAATAGTACAAATAAAGAAAAACCCTTGAATGAGTAGGAGTGTCCAAACTTTTGACTGGTACTGTATATAAACTCAGCAAAAAAAGAAACGTCCTCTGACTGTCAACTGCGTTTATTTTGAGCAAACTTAACGTGTAAATATTTGTATTAAAATAACATGATTCAACAACTGAGACATAAACTGAACAAGTTTATTTTATTATTCCGAAATGGAATAATGTGTCCCTGAACAAAGGGGGGGTCAAAATCAAAAGCAACAGTCAGTATCTGGTGTGGCCACCAGCTGCATTAAGTACTGCAGTGCATCTCCTCCTCATGGACTGCACCATCTTTGCCAGTTCTTGCTGTGAGATGTTACCCCACTCTTCCACCAAGGCACCTGCAAGTTCCCGGACATTTCTGGGGGGAATGGCCCTAGCCCTCACCCTCTGATCCAACAGGTCCCAGACGTGCTCAATGGGATTGAGATCCGGGCTCTTTGCTGGCCATGGCAGAACACTGATATTCCTGTCTTGCAGGAAATCACACACAGAACGAGCAGTATGGCTGGTGGCATTGTCATGTAGGAGGGTCATGTCAGGATGAGCCTGCAGGAAGGGTACCACATTAGGGAGGAGGATGTCTTCCCTGTAACGCACAGCGTTGAGATTGCCTGCAATGACAACAAGCTCAGTCCGATGATGCTGTGACACACTGCCCCAGACCATGACGGACCTTCCACCTCCAAATTGATCCCGCTCCAGAGTACAGGCCTCGGTGTACCGCTCATTCCTTCAACGATAAATGCGAATCCGACCATCACCCCTGGTGAGACAAAACCGCGACTCGTCAGTGAAGAGCACTTTTTGCCTGTCCTGTCTGGTCCAGTGACGGTGGGTTTGTGCCCATAGGTGACGTTGTTGCCGGTGATGTCTGGTGAGGACCTGCCTTACAATAGGCCTACAAGCCCTCAGTCCAGCCTCTCTCAGCCTATTGCGGACAGTCTGAGCACTGATGGAGGGATTGTGCGTTCCTGGTGTAACTCTGGCAGTTGTTGCCATCCTGTACCTGTCCTGCAGGTGTGATGTTCGGATGTACTGATCCTGTGCAGGTGTTGTTACACGTGGTCTGCCACTGCGAGGACGATCAGCTGTCCGTCCTGTCTCCCTGTAGCGGTGTCTTAGGCGTCTCACAGTACCGGACATTGCAATTTATTGCACTGGCCACATCTGCAGTCCTCATGCCTCCTTGCAGCATGCCTAAGGCACATTCACGCAGATGAGCAGGGATCCTGGGCATCTTTCTTTTGGTGTTTTTCAGAGTCAGTAGAAAGGCCTCTTTTAGTGTCCTAAGTTTTCATAACTGTGAACTTAATTGCCTACCCTCTGTAAGCTGGTAGTGTCTTAACGACCGTTCCACAGGTGCATGTTCATAAATTGTTTATGGTTCATTGAACAAGCATGGGAAACAGTGTTTAAACCCTTTACAATGAAGATCTGTGAAGTTATTTGGATTTTTACGAATTATCTTTGAAAGACAGGGTCCTGAAAAAGGGACGTTTCTTTTTTTGCCAAGTTTATTTTATTGTGAAATACACCGGATAGGTGCAGTGAAATGTATTGTTTTACAGGGTCAGCCATAGTAGTACGGCGCCCCTGGAGCAAATTAGGGTTAAGTGCCTTGCTTAAGGGCACATCGACAGATTTTGGCCTTGACGGCTCAGGTATTCGAACCAGCGACCTTTCGGTTACTGGCCCAACGCCCTAACCGCTAGGCTACCTGCCGCCCAACTGAGCCACCGAGGATCATACACATGCATTCACAATACACACCAAATACCAATACCTGCATTGAATATGGAGGAGTTCTTCATACTGAAAGGCTGTGTATCTGTGTGTTTTCTCCTGGCAGTGTGTGACGTGGAGGGAGAGCTCCACGCTGCAGTCTGCTACCCGTCATCCTGCACCAGCAACGTCCTTCATAGCTACAAACCCCCAGACCTGCAGTACAGCATGGAGCAGGCCGGGGTCTAACACAGGTACCCACATGCACTTAGGGTGTGTCCCAAATGGCACCCTATTCCCTATATAGTGCACTACTTTTGAGGGAGGCATTGGGACGAACCTTACAGTATGACTCTGTTGCACTACACTCAGTCTACAGTCAGTGAATGTCTTTTACCAGACTCATGTCAATGGTTGCCACTGTTTGTTAATGCTGTTGTTAGATCAGTTGTCATTTAGTTAAACCTTCATTTAGCCAGGCAGGTCATTTAGGACATGATTCTCATTCATAGTACTGACTTGGTTGGTCAAGAGGTGAACATAATGAAGCACAGTACTTGAACTGTTAGTGCTCCTAGCTAGGGGATATAGAGGGTGAATCTCATTGGCATTACCTTGATTCCTCACCCCTTCTCGCCTCACCACCTTCTCTAAGTGCATTGGAGGAGAAGGACCGTGGGGAGGAACCTCAGATCTGCTCTTTCAATGTGTTTTGAAATGGAGGCAAGGAGAGAGGGCACAAGGAGTCAAGGAAAGACAATTGAGATTCACCCCTAGTGTTAACTCTGTCCCTCTGTGTTCTTTCTCTCCTAGGAGCGTCTCCTGTGTATAAAGGTCCACATCAGCCACCTGTGTTGAGCAGCATCACGCCAAACCACCATTGTCTGTCTGGAGGGGGCACTTTCCGTCAGTCCTAGGGCCTGGGGAGGGCTGCAGCCCGGGGTGGGTGGGGGGGATTGGCTGGGTGAGGGGAGTAGGTCCAATGCCAGCATTCTGTTCTGCACAGCCATCTAGCAAGCATTGCCATCATTGGCTCTCTCCATTTCTGCTCTTCCATCCGATTGGATAGATATGGCTCTGCCTCCCCCATTCACTTCTTCCTTCCTACCCACTTGTGGTCCCGCCCCCCCCCCCCGCCCCCCCCCCCCCCCCCCCACCCCAAACTGTTGCCATAGCAACATACTCATGCGCCTCAATGGCCCAGGCATTCATACAGGCAAAACATATAGATCACCTAAACATACACATGCAGACACTCAGCCACAAACCCAAAGTATTCACACCAAGTCTGTGCGCGGGGATTCCTGTGAGGTTCTGTCCGCTCCTTCCTCTCCCCTCCACTGTATTCGGGTGGACCATTCCGGAGCGGGCTGTGATCTCAGCCTATGAGGCTCTCTCTCAGAGTGACCCATTACATTGGGCTTGCGGGGGTGGGTTTGGGACAGGCTCAGGGGTGCTAAAAAAAACAATGGAGCTCAGTGACATCGATCGCACAGCACAACCAGCTCTCATTTTTTATTTTATTTTCCTGTTCTGTCGTTCTTTTTCTTAATTGTTTTTAAAATTCATTTTTGCGGCTAATGTTCATCTAGAAATTATGATCATTATTGTTACTATTATTGTTATTACTGTTTACTGTAAAATACGTTTTATTGTTATTATGATCATAATGAGAATTATTATGAAAGGAAAAAAAACTGCTCTGTGTTGCAAGGAAGACAACATTTTAGTTTTGATTACTTAAGTAATTCTGCACTTTCGGTTCAAGCTATCTTTTATTATTCTCCCTGTTTACCCTCTCATACTGCCTTCTCATTTTCTCACTCCCTTGTTCTCTCTTGTTTTATGCCCTTCTCTCCCCCGTTCTTCATTCCATCCTTCTCTCCCTCTTTTTCTGCTCCCCTGCCCCCTCTTGTGTCAGTGACAGTGTGGCATTGTGGGTAGTTTTTAACAGACATTCTTCCCCTTCCTCCCCTATACAGCGACACCATGTATAGACCGCAATTGCAATTTCTGTATCACATTTTTGGGGGGAGGTGTTGGGGAGGCATTTTTATATTGTTATTATTTGTATTTTTTGACGTGTTCAGATATCTTTTTTTTTTGTTTGTTTGTTTTTGGAATATTGAGATTTTTAGCCAAAAGAGTACAGGGAGAAGAGTTCATTGTCATAAAAAAATATTGTTCTTATTCTTTTATTATCGTGACACTTGAAGAGGAGAGTAATTATTTGTGTAACTTTTTGTCATTTCAATCATTTCAATGATGTTATTGTCATTGTTATCGTTCTCTGGTTTTTGGGGTAGATTTTGCAGGCAATGTGTTGTGGAGTGGTTCGGTGCTGGGAATGCAGTCATTGAAACGCAGGGGAACTGTAATATAGATGACATATCATCATTGTAAGACATTTAGAGGTGGAGATGGAAAGACCCCTTCTCCTCTCGCTCCCCCAATCTGCAGTGGTACCCTCCGTCTCTGACCTCGTCGCCCCCTTATTGGCCGACACACAATGGACATTGCCTCTCCTCCCAACTCTGGCCCCGCTACGGCCACATTCAAGGAAGAGACTACTACTCTGCACATGTGCTGCCCCCCTTTTCTATCTCTATCTCGTTCCCTACCTTCGTCACATGATCATCGAGTGAGACCTACTCCAGCCCCAATACCGGATTCAGTCCTCCATCGCTTCGGAGGGAGAGAAATCAGCAACTGACCAGAGACACAGTGGTCTCGAGTTTGACCCCAACGCAGTATGTACAGTTCAGATAGTGTGCGGAGGGGGTGGGAGAATGATCCGCCCCCCTGTCCCCGGCTTGTCCGCAGGACTCCCAGTGCATCATGGTCCAGCGAGGGACTGTGAGTGTGTTGCTGATGAGTGACCACCTCTTCCGTGTCTGTTTCTGTCTGACTTCCATCTCATCGTCTGTAAACCAGCTCTCTGCTCGGCACCTGTATCCTATGTTCTCTTTTTCTAGTGTTTTAATTTTAATTTTGAGTACAAAAATACTAAAGTGCAACAACGATGATTAAATAGAATACCAACCAAACTGAGATGAATTAAATAAATATATATAAATAAATAATTTAAAAAGACAATGTGTTTGGGTGATGTTAAATACATTTAAGGAATCTGTATACCACCTGTGTGTCAAGTCTGCTTGTATTTATGCTTGTCTTTTGTCAGTCTGAGTTTCATACTGATTGTCTGACTCGGTACAAACAATAGAAGTTATTGTAATGCAGTTGCTTGTAGTTGAGGAGGAGACTTAATGATGGTCAAACGTGTACAGTGACGGCAAACAACTTTACGCACTATAACAGGGTTGCGTTCCATTTCAATTAGGTCAATTCAGGAAGTAAACTGAAATTCCCACTGGAATTGGAAATTCAGTTTACTTCCTCAATTGACTGAATTTTAAAATGATCAACCCTGCTATATACTCCAGATTTGACAGTCTGTGATAGATGGGGCACAAACCTGAAATCCTCATGGGTAAGAATAACTCCACAAGTTGTATTTGTCAGAGTTAAGGAAAGGACCTCTTTGCAGCCGACACAGGACCACTGTAGGGATGAATGGGGATCATTGGGTAAGCTATTGATCTACATCCCTCTACCTCAGGGCTGCAGTGCTCTGTGATCAGCTTCTTTGGTCTGTCTGTAGAGCTGCAGTGGCTTTTCAGGCAACGGTAGCTGAGCACAGATCTATGGAGCCCTGTAGTATGTAATAAAGGATGCTGTGATTGGAAGATGGACAGGATTGATGGATAAGTGGATAACATCTAATCCCTGTGCCTTAGTAGACTGACACCTTGCCCCCTCATCACTCTCCTTCCATCCATCCCTTTATCGCTCTCTAACACCTTGGAATACATGGATACTGGCTCATTTAAATGACGGATGCATTGCGTAGCTTGTCCTGTTTTCCTCTCGCTCCCCCTCTCCTCTTTCCTCTCTCCCCTTCTCGTTGTCTGTGTGGCGACAGCATGACTGCCAGCGTCAGCCACTAAATGCTGCTCGCTGCAGTCACAGGATCGTGTGTGTGTGTAGTTGAGTGAGCCAGTGGGGGCTGCCTCTCGTCTCCTCTGCTACCCTACCCAGCATGCATGGAGGACCGACAGGCTGAATCATCCCACCACCATCTGCAGACTGTGCCAAGGTAACACTAACATGGGTGGGTGTGTGTGTGTGTGTGAGAGAGAGGGAAAAAAAAGAATGGGGGAAGAAAGATAAGGACTGTGATATGTGTTTTATCGGAGTTTGAAAGACAGTGCTGTGTGCATTGCTGTGTATGTATTTGGGTGTGTGTTTTTGAGACACTGCATGCATCCCTGCACAGCAGATTTAGTGTGTTGCACAGAGTCTAGCCCAGGGTGTCTCCCTCTTGTCCATCGTGCCTGTGCTTGTTATGATAACAAGCTTCCAGTCCTCTCTTTACTCGACTGATTGCACCATTGTTTATTTGGGGAATACTATTCCCATGCGGTCAGCTTTATGTATTGATGTCATGCTTACATTACTGCTTTAGTGGAAGGCGCTGACACATTGATCATGTGACTATGATAGTCTGTGATTAATAGTATCAGGAGTTTGTCATTTCTGGTGCTTTTTCACACATTTGATTTGCATATGTGTGGTGTGAAATCACTGACTTCTTTAAACAGGCCTGTGTTTTTAATCTACGGATAGAGATCTACTCAGATGGCATCTATATCAGCGTATTACACTGCAGCTCGCAAGCAAATTATTGAATACTCTGGAGTCAGTCTATTTGTGAAGAGCATAATCAACTCTTACTCTACCTCTCATCATCACTGTTCATTGTGTCTCTATATGCCTATGGTCCCGTGTCACTCAGTTCATAGAGCATGGTGCTTGCAACGCCAGGGTTGTGGGTTCGATTCCCACGGGGGACCAATACGAATATGTATGATCTCACTACTGCTAAATTACTGAAATGTGAAAAGAAATAGTGAAATGCAGTTTGGCCATTTCTGTGTCTTTCATAGACTGTTGTATCCTTTCTGATTGGCTGTTCCTGTGTCTTTTCATGGATTGTCCAGGAAGCTACTGCTCCTCTGTTGACATTGTCTGTTCACGCTAGTTGTTTATCTGTCTCAACTTGGGTTCACCACATTCTCTTTGTCTCTCTTAGGGATCTGTCCTCTTTATCCCTGTGTGTATTTACTGTCTTCGTTCCATTCTCTTTCCGTCTGTCAGTGTTTTCTTGTCTTTCTTTCTAGGGCTAATGCAATTCAATGTCCATGTTCTCTCTCTCTCTCTCTCTGTCTCTGTCTCTCTCTCTCTGTCTCTCTCTCTCTCTGTCTCTCTCTCTCTCTCTGTCTCTCTCTCTCTCTCTGTCTCTCTCTCTCTCTCTCTCTCTCTCTCTCTCTCTCTCTCTCTCTCTCTCCATATCTGACACACTGTCCTATTTCCCTGTCTTATTTCTGTCTGGTTGTTTGTCTACCTCTCTGTTTTTCTTGTCATTCTCTTGTCTGTGTAATCCCTCTATTAAGTCACTGGAGCGCAATCACTTACTGCCAGTCTCTCTACCCCCCCCCCCCCCCCCCCCCCCCGTGTGTGTGCGCAATGGCAGATAGCAGGTGTGTGTTGGTGGTCCTGTGGACGAGCATGGAGTGTGTGTGTCTGAGGCAGGGGCCAGGCACCACTGTCCTGCTGCTACACGCCTTGGCCTGGGCATGGACAGGTCAGTAACAAGACTTGATCATGGAAAATATACCACCACACAGTATACTACTCAGTTCTTTTTGAGTTACAGTATATTGATAAAGAATATAGATTCTCATGAGAAACAGATGAAAAGTACATTTAAATAGACACTGGGTTTCAAGTGCACATATTTTTTACATATCAACTTCTCTATACATCCAGGTGCGATCGAATTTGCCCTCAAGATTGATGGACGGCATCGAACTGCACTAACAATGAAAGAGAATGTCACCCACAAGTTCAACTGCCAATCAGAGGGTTGGAATCCTCATGCCCCGCCCCTGCTGACGTGGTACCTCAACGGGAAGCGACAGAGACAGCCGACGGACAAACGGATACCTGGGCGCCTAGTGGTGACATCACAGGAGGAGTCTGGGCTGCTGAAGCCGGACTCCAAGCACAACAGCACCTTCTCTCTGAGAGCCAGGAAGTGGGATAGAGAGCTGGTGTGTGCCGCCTCCAGCCCTAACAGTGGAGAGATCTACAACGCCACCGTCACCCTCAATGTGCAGTGTGAGTAGGCTTGTTGAATGATCTACTGATGTTTTGTGGTGTGGGAATGTGTTTATATTATTATATGTTGTGGCTGTTAAGGTTTCACTTACTTGTTGAATTAAGGTCACATAACCAAATACAGTATTAACCCCAGTCCTTCTGCTTACTCCGATATTATCATTGGCCCCAGTGCTAATATCAATATCCAATTTGATCCCACCACTGTAGGTTATTTAAACCCAGTAGTACAGTGCATTCGGAAGGTATTCAGACCCCTTGACATTTTCCACATTTTGTTACTTTACAGCCTTATTCTAAAATGGATTAAATTGTTTTTTCCCCCTATCAATCTACACACAATACCCTTAATGACAAAGCAAAATCAGTTTTATAGAATAAACCCCACCCCCTCCCGGAAATATGATATTTACGTAAGTATTCAGACCCTTTACTCAGTACTTTGTTGAAGCACCTTTGGTAGCGATTACAGCCTTGAGTCTTCTTGGGTATGGCGCTACAAGCTTGGCACACCTGTATTTGGGGAGTTTCTCCCATTCTTCTCTGCAGATCCTCTCAAGCTCAGTCATTTTGGATGGGGAGCGTCACTGCACAGCTATTTTCAGGTCTCTCCAGAGATGTTCGATTGGGTTCAAGTCCGGGCTCTGGCTGGGACACTCAAGGGACATTCAGAGACTTGTCCCGAAGCCACTCCTGCGTTGTCTTGGCTGTGTGCTTAGAGACATTGTCCTGTTGGAAGGTGAACCTTTGCCCCAGTCTGAGGTCCTGAGCACTCTGGAGCAGGTTTTTATCAAGGATCTCTCTGTACTTTGCTCTGTTCATCTTTCCCTCGATCCTGACTAGTCTCCCAGTCCCTGCCGCTGAAAAACATCCCCACAGCATGATGCTGCCACCACCATGCTTCATCGTAGGGATGGTGCCAGGTTTCCTCCAGACGTGACACTTGGCATTCAGGCCAAAGAGTTCAATCTTGGTTTCATCAGACCAGATAATCTTGTTTCTCATGATCTGAGAGTCTTTAGGTGCCTTTTGGCAAACTCCAAGCGGGCTGTCATGTGCCTTCTACTGAGGAGTGGCTTCCGTCTGGCCACTCTACCATAAAGGCCTGATTGGTGGAATGCTGCAGAGATGGTTGTCCTTCTGGAAGTTTTCCCCCATCTCCACAGATGAACTCTGGAGCTCTGTCAGAGTGACCATCAGGTTCTTGGTCACCTTCCTGACCAAGGCCCTTCTTCCCCGATTACTCAGTTTGGCCGGGCAGCCAGCTCTAGGAAGAGTCTTGGTGGTTCCAAACTTCTTCCATTTAAGAATGATGGAGGCCACTGTGTTCTTCAGGACATTCAATGCTGCAGAAATGTTTTGGAACCCTTCTCCAGATCTGTGCCTCGACACAATCCTGTCTCGGAGCTCTACGGACAATTCCTTTGACCTCATGGCTTTGGTATTTGCTCTGACATGCACTGTCAACTGTGGGAACTAATATAGACAGGTGTGTGCCTTTCCAAATCATGTCCAGTGAATTGAATTTACCACAGGTGGACTCCAGTCGAGTTGTAGAAACATCTCAAGGATGATCAATGGAAACAGGATGCACCTGAGCTCAATTACAAGGCTCATAGCAATACTTATGTAAATAAGGTATTTCTGTTTTTTATCATTAATAAATTTGCTAAAATTTCTAAAAACCTGTTTTCACTTAAGTCATTATGGGCTATTGTGTGTAGATTGATGAGGAAAACATTTAATTTTAACCATTTTATAATAAGGCTGTAACGGAACAAAATGTGGAAAAAGTCAAGAGGTCTGAATACTTTCCGAATGCACTGATGTGAACTGATGTGATGCTCAGTTTCCCTCTATTTCTTCTGTTCCCCTACCTTTTCTATCCCAGTCCTGCCAGAGATTCTGCGTGTGAACGCTCACTACACTGAAACCTCAGACCCTGGCCTCTCCCTGGTCCTCTTTGCCTTGGTACAGTCCAACCCCCCTGCCCACATCACCTGGGTAGACCAGTCTGACCAGCTGGTGGCCAGCACCTCGGACTTCCTCATCCTGGACTCGTGGAGCTACCCCTGGCTGACCAATCACACGCTGCGGGTCACCCTGAGCAGCCTATCAGGGAATGTCTCCGTGAACGCCAGCAACAGTGTCGGTGCAGCTCAGAGCAACCTAGCTCTGGCAGGTCAATATCACTTTTACCCTTTTCTCACTATCGTGCCGAACCGAACCAAACAGTCTTGCATATTTTCTTTTCAGCGAAAGGTGGATGCGTAACCAGGCCAGCTGAGCATAGCTTGTTTTGGCCCAGCTTGGTTCGGCTCAGTAGTGTGAAAAGCCCCTTTTTCTACTACAGTCCTGTATCTGTATTCTCCAGAGTTCCTCCAGTCCAGGGTGGATGTGCCGGTGCTGGGCATCCTGACAGGGGGCGCTGTGGGCTTCATTACCCTCCTCTTCCTCAGCCTTCTGGTGCTCTGCCTTCTTCACAAGAACAAGGGCAAGGCCATCATCGGTGAGACAGGGGAACAAGGAGGGTGGGAGGAACTGTTTTATTTTGATGATACAATGAATGAGGTGCTTTAAGTCTCTGAAGAATGTCTGTGCCTGTTCTTTTTCAGATGAGCCAGTCGAGATTATAATGGCGAAAAAATGGTAATGTACATTATTTGGCCAGTCTATCTGTTGTTTGTGTCTGTGGTCAGCATAGGTGTGGGTCTAAAATGTGTCTTTCTTTGAATAAATTAAAAAGGGTGAGGGAGTACTGGATAAGAGCATCTGCTAAAATGACAAAAATGTAATACCTACGTATTGTATTCAATGGTATATATTTATGCATGAGCATGCTCCTCTTTATGTATGTACAGTACAGTATATAAGGCAAGTGTCTGTATAATAATATACTTTACAAGGGTATATTCACTAGGAAACAAACGGAAGCAAACAGGCCGAAACGGGGAGGGGCATACCAGAACTTATCCAATAAGAGACTGTAATTTCCATTGTTATGGTTTCCTACGTTGTGCACTAATGAATACATGCCATGATTCTTGTTTCAGTATCGAATCACCTACTATGAAGGTAGACAAGATATACCTACCCAGAGAGAACATGTCTCTACCTTCCAACATGCAACTCAACGACCTCAGCACCCTGCGTAAAGGTAAGACACTACTGTTGAGAGACAGATACCTCATTAGAATCTCATGAATGGTGCAAAGCAATTACAGAACAGGAGCAGGAAACAGAGTGGTCATTTTGGTGCCCTGGGCACTGGCATCTGTCCCTGCGGTCTTCTCCATGACTCCGTCCCATCTGTTAATCTACTTCCTCATCCCCGTGATGTCTCTCTGTAGCACGAGAGGCCGCCAAACACCACCTTGGGGAGAAGATGAGCGAGGAAGAAGTAGAGGAGGATCTGTCTGCTGCCTACGCTGCTAGGGGTAAGACAGGGTTCAGAGGTTTAGGGTTAGCTTGCCTGTTGAATGGAAATTTGTTGGCCCACTCCACACTAATGTAATGTGTTAACTTTTTTCAGGCTGTTATGATGGGTGTGCATTTGTTAATATATTATTGGATGTGTATGTGTGTGTATAATTCTTGTTTGTGTGCATATACCGTGCACCACATATGTCCGTACATTGTTATAAAGTTTGTTGTTGACACCCCCTCCAGGCTTTGCCCGGTACCCCATGGTGGGCTACATCTATAAGGTGAACAGCAAGAGCAGTGATGAGATCTGGCTCTGACTACTACGCCCCAGTCCAACCGGCCAATAGGAACCTGTGAACGACTGCCAGTCAGCCAATCAGCCAATCCCATCTTCAAAAAGGACCAATAGAGATGCTGAGATGATTACAGGCGCAGACCAGCAAGAGGAGAGATGCTGAGATGATTACAGGCGCAGACCAGCAAGAGGAACCTATCAGGAAGATACTGTAGGTAGCTATCTCACTCTGAGGTTGTCCAGATGAACATATTACAGCGGGTAATCACATTCCAACTTGATTCAGTGAAAATCAGAAGCTCAGAATATCAGGTCCTATGTTAATTGGTTAGTGTATTTCAAGCTGACAGGTATAAATCTGTAGCGTGGTCAGTTTGTGCTGTCTGTCTGTTTGGTGTGACAATATGTCATAAACAGATTTAGGACCAGGCTAATAACTCTCACTGCCATGGACTGAATCCTCAAAGGATGCAGTTGTAGAATCAAGTTAATGCATTTAGATGGCTCTAAACACCTAAACCGATACTCAGTGTGGGAAGTATACTGTACCAGTGTTTTAGATGGTTTAAACTGACTGACACCTACCACATCTCCATATTCTACAGTCTGTCGATCACATACCATAACCATGAACTGAATGTTGGATTACGGAATGCTTAATGTTTTTTGTATATGATAAGAATGTCCAAGACAATGTATGTAAACAAATATATTTCTATGGATATACAGTACCAGTCAAAAGTTTGGAGACACCTACTCATTCAAGGGTTTTTCTTAATTGTTACTATTTTCTACATTGTAGAATAATAGTGAAGACATTAAAACTATGAAATAACACATATGGAATCATGTAGTAACCAAAAAAGTGTTAAACAAATAAAAATGTATTTGAGATTCCTCAAAGTAGCCACCCTTTGCCTTGATGACAGCTTTGCACACTCTTGGCATTCTCTCAACCATTTATTTGGGCTGCAATCTGAGGTGCAGTTAATTGCCGATTTTTGAGGCTGGTAACTCTAATGAACTTATCCTCTGCAGCAGAGGTAACTCTGGGTCTTCCATTACTGTGGCGGTCCTCATGAGAGCCAGTTTCATCATAGAGCTTGATGGTTTTTGCGACTGCACTTGAAACTTTCAAAGTTCTTGAAATGTTCCGGATTGACTGACCTTCATGTCTTAAAGTAATGATGGACTGTTGTTTCTTTTTGCTTATTTGAGCTGTTCTTGTCATAATATGGACTTTACAAAATAGGGCTATCTTCTGTATACCACCCCTACCTTGTCACAACACAACTGATTGGCTCAAATGCATTAAGAAGGAAAGAAATTCCACAAATTTAACTTTTAACAAGGCACACCTGTTAATTGAAATGCATTCCAGGTGACTACCTCATGAAGCTGGTTGAGAGAATGCCAAGAGTGTGCAAAGCTGTCATCAAGGCATAGGGTGGCTACTTTGCAGAATCTCAAATATAAAATATATTTTGATTTGTTTAACACTTTTATGGTTACTACATGATTCCATATGTGTTATTTCATAGTTTTGATGTCTTTACTATTATTCTACAATGTAGAAAATAGTAAAAATAAAGAAAAACCCTGGAATGAGTAGGTGTCTCCAAACTTTTGACTGGTACTGTATACATAAACAATAGATATTCCTCTAAAAGTATGTAACATGTGTACATGTATATTTATATTTATATTTATATGTATATGTGTATAAAATACATCTAATAAAGATTAATATGACTATGGATATGACTATGGATGGAAAATTCTGCTTTTGTTTTTATTCAACCAGAAGGGGGCACTAATCTTACCCTGTAAAGTACCCTATTTAAAATGGAGACTAAAGGATCCAACTGTCTATTGATTTACACATAATGGCCTGTCTTCTTGTCATATTAATGCTGTCAACAGAGGTCAGCCGGGCTTTGCCAGTCAGGGCTGGGCATCATCGGGGGACAGTGCAGGGCTGGCCCTGTTCACTGGTCCTGCTGTAATGGAGCCCAGGCCAGTGTTGGCCCGTATCAGTGTGCTGAGCCAGTGGGTGGAAATGCAGCCTTAGTCTAATGGAGATTGTATCTCAGATTGTGTTAGTTGACACTGATGAGAGTGAAGTAATGCTGTCCTATCTTTTATGGTTCTGACACTGCTGACTGGGTAGATGTGATTGTGTGTAGATTTGACCAGTAAGATTATGTTATGACCCCCAAAATCAACATTTTGTATACCGCAATTCTTCCAAGAAAAGTGTTTTCTGTCTTGCTTGTGGTTAGTGCATTGTTGTTTTTGTCGACATAGCGGTGGTAGTGTTTGAGGCATAGGGGTGGTAGTGTTTGAGGCATAAGGGTGGTAGTGTTTGAGACATTGTGTCTCGTTCTCCCGAGTGGCGCAGTGGTCTAAGGCACTGCATCGCAGTGCTAGCTGTGCCACTAGAGATCCTTGTTCGAATCCAGGCTCTGTCGTAGCCGGCCGCGACCGGGAGACCCATGGGGCGGCGCACAATTGGTCCAGGGTAGGGGAGGGAATGGCCAGCAGGAATGTAGCTCAGTTGGTAGAGCATGGCGTTTGGAATGCCAGGGTTGTGGGTTCATTTCCCACGGGGGGCCAGTATGAAATTGTTTTTAAAAATAATGTATGCACTCACTAACTGTAAGTCGCTCTGGATAAGAGTGTCTGCTAAATGACTAAAATGTAAATGTTAGTGAGTGTGTTCAAGGTGCCAGTTGTAGGTTACAGGGTGTTGTGGTCTACCGTTGCCAAGCAGGAAGCTGCTTTGTGGGATCGTCTCTTCGTCTTTCTCACATTGCTCCTCTACATTCTTCAGAGCAGTAGGGATTTTAGGTTTTCAACAGAATCATTGGGACATAACTTTCTTAATGAAATGTGATTATGATCATAATCATGTTTTACTTCATCGTAAAATCAAACTACATACTAAAACGTTACTGTAGGCCCATATGTAATTATTCTTACCCTTATAAAACATATGGTATTAAACATTGGAACATTGTTGTTTCAAAGGGACAGTATTTGCTAAAGCAGCATGTTGAAGTTATGCTGATCTGCGGCCTCACCCGTAACTCAACCCAGTCTCATTTCAGAGAAGTTACAGAGGTACTAAATAGAGACAGATAGGGCTCTGGTGTTACAGAAGATAAACCAATCATACACATTTCCTCCTCATAGACATAGAGACAGACAGACCCATTGAGTAGGTGACATTTTGAAGACTTTTTGAAAAAGGACATGGAAAGGGTAAGTTTTAGATTTTTTATCCCCTATTCTAAATAGTTGATAGACTCTTAACAAGTTGGCATCACTGACATGAGAAAGATTTATTTACAATTGAAAAGGTTTGTTGGTGGCCAAGGATGTGTAAAATTACACAGGAGACACAAAATAACAATAAATCAATATCTTTGTGTAAAGGTGTTATTTCTTGTAATATTTCATGCCTCAATTCAGTAAAAAAAATATGTATTTTTTGTTTTATTATGATACAAAATTGAAGTTTGAGTCGAATTAAAATGGCTGACTAGGGACAGAAAACTGTCTTTCCTGGGTTTTTTTAATGGACTTAGGGGCTCTTTAGGTTGGACCACCTACAACGGCAGTGTATGAAATGACACATCAGTTTTAATATCCCCAGGAGAATCAAGAGAAGAGTAAGTAGAATGAAGGGGACCATACTCTTGGCTTATCTGTTGTTGATTTGGACCATGACTGGTAAGTTTTGGGGTAGCTATGAAAAATATTTATTGACAGACTGCATAAAAAATTTCACAGAAATAATTCAATTTCACATAAATAATTTTCTGATCACTTCTTGATTATTTCTGACAAGATTAATCAGCTGGATGACATTCAAAGTACAAGATCACTGACGTCAAGGTCACAAATGCTTTCTGATCTATTTACTGTGACTCTAACCGATACTTTCCCCCGTTCTTTTAACAGTAGCTATAGATTCAGACCCAGGTAAGAAGCCAGACTAGTTCAATTCCTGATTTGATCTAACTATGAATTCTAGGGCATTATCTGGGCATACTGTAGACCAGGTTTTCTCCCAACTCTCCTAATTTAATTTACAATTCAAAACGATCTAACTGACTAAAACCCACCATCATTATTGGCACCCTTGATAGAAATTAGTAAAAAATACTATAAAATAAAGAATACAAAAACTGAGCTATATTGTATGCAAAAAAGTTACTGTATATTCATTTATACTAATACAACTGCTCAGAAATAAATACGACTTTGTAATCTGACCATAGCACCACCTGGAGTTTGATAAATGGCATTGGCGCTTGGATTGGAACCAGTTAAATGGTCAAATGACATGAAAATAAACTATTTGGTCATGCACACCAGTGGTGGGTTTGGTGTTGAAAAACAGAAGCAGACTTGTATGCGGTAAAATATGGCGGTGGGTCTTTGATGTTATGGGGCTATTTTGCTTCCACTGGTCCTGAAACCGTTGTTAAGGTCAACGGCATCATGAACTTTCCCAAGTACCAAGACATTTTAGCCAAAAACCTGGTTGCCTCTGCCAGGATGCTATGCATAGTTTTATCTATGCATAGTCACTTTAATTTTAATTACCTCGACTAACCGGTGCCCCCGCACATTGACTCTGTGCCGGTGCCCCCTGTATATAGCCTCGCTATTGTTATTTTACTATTGTTATTTTACTGCTGCTCTTTAATTTTAATTTTTACATTTCGCTGTAAGGTCTACACCTGTTGTATTTGGCTCATGTGACAAATAAAAATTGATTTGATTTGATGCTGACACTTGGCCGCAAGTGGATCTTCCAGCAAGACAATAACACCAATCACTAATCAAAATCTACAAAGAAATGGTTAATTGATCACAAAATCAACATTTTACAATGGCCATCTCAGTCTCCAGACTTGAACCCTTTTGAAACCCTGTGGTTTGAATTGAAGAGGGCAGTCATAAGAGCAGACAAATGATATCAAGGATCTGGAAAGATTCTGTATGGAGGAATGATCTAATATAAACAAATTAAATAAAATAAAAAAGAGGAGAGAGAAATAATAGAAAAATAATAACACGAGGAATAAATACACAATGAGTAACGATAACTTGACTATATACACGGGGTACCATTACCGAGTCGATGCGCAGTGGTACGAGGTAGTTGAGGTAGATAAGTACATATAGGTAAGGATTAAGTGACTAGGCAACAGGATAGATAATAAACAGTAACAGCAGAGCATGTGATGAGTCAAAAGACTTAGTGCAAAAAGGGTCTCATGCAGTGCGACACATCTCCTTCTCATAGAGTTGATCAGGCTGTTGATTGTGGCCTGTAGAATGTTGTTCCACTCCTCTTCAATGGCTGTGCGAATTTGCTGGATATTGTCGGGAAC